ACAAAATGGGGAGTGAATCGGCCAGCATCAGTTATTGACCTTGTCTCAGTTCTGAGATGGGAGGTGGGGGAAGGGAGGAGAACTTGCGAAGCAGCCAGATCTTGCTTTCTCCATGCCCTAACGGATAGAGACCAGCATTAATAACTCCAGAGAGATGTTTCTCAAAGAGTGCTACAGAAACACAAATGTTCACCAAGGAGGAATCCCGTGGTGAAATAAGATTGAGAAACATGGTTTAAATGTCAAATGGAGTGCTTTATTTGAAGATTTTTGAGACATTTTAATATGCTAACATTCAGTATGACTCTCCAGAATGGAAACTTATGTGGCATGGTTTATGTGGTACCCCAAACTTGACGTTGGCCTCGGAGTGGAAGAGCCATCTTGTAGGACTGGGGATTCATGGGACCCTCCCTGGGAAATGTTACCTCAGTGTAAGGGCAGACAGTACTGATTGGCACGTGCCTCTTTCTCTAGCAGCAGAAACCCTAGGGATGCAGAATCATTTCAACACAGACTTTATTAAGAGAATTTGTACTAAATTAGAAAAGCTTATTAAGTGCAGGCATGCATTCTAAGTCTCTGCACTAATTTTAGTGTCTGACCTGGAAATGTATACCAGATCTCAAGCCTACAGGTGGCTCCAATTTCCCTCTATCTGAAGAGGGAAGCTATTGATTACTGTACAACTTTCAAGGTTCTTTCCACTTTTTTATACTTTTTGTACCATTCCTATTCTTTGTTTTGGCTCCTTTTGCTGTATTTTTTGTTTGTTTGCTTTGCTATTGTTGTTAAGCAAGATGCAGAATGCAGTTAGACCAAGAGCTAAGGTAGAAAGCCTACCTGAGACTGGGGAGTGTCCCAGTCAGCAGTGGGCAAAGTGGCAAAGCAGGGTGCACTGTGAAGGTCCAGGTCCAGAAAACTGGAGGGGAGCCCCTGGCAGAGATGAGGTGTGGTGGTCCCTGGGAACAAAGCTATGAGTAGGGAACCCTGGGATGACATCCACCAAGAATAGAAGAGAGTGAGGCAGGGAGGAGGGTGGGAAAGTCCTTTGAGTGAGTCTCTAGGACAGTGCTTCCTTGAATAAGCCTATCCACTTCTTTAAAAGAACTTGGACCCCAAACACTACACGACATACACTTCAGCGATATCTTTAAAGATAGAGCACCCAATGCCACAATAGTGAAGGCAAGGATAAATAGATGGGACTACATCAAGTTAAAGAGCTTCTGTACAGCAAACGAGACATTACAAAAAACAAAAAGACAGCCCACTAATTGGGAAAACATTTTCTTACACAAAAGTAGTGATAAAGGACTGATCACAAAAATACACGGAGAACTGACGAAACTCAACAAAATAAACAACCCCTTCAAAAATGGGCAGAAGAGCTAAAAAGACACTTCTCCAAAGAGGAAATGCAGATGGCCAGCAAGCATATGAAAAAATGTTCAACATCACTCATAATAAGGGAGATGCAAATTAAAACCACAATGAGATACCACCTCACCCCAGTGAGAATGGCACATCTTCAAACAACTAGTAACAACAAATGTTGGTGAGGGTGTGGAGAAAAAGGAACTCTCCTGCACTGCTGGTGGGAATACAAACTAGTACAACCACTATGGAAAACTGTTTGGAGGTTCCTCAAACTGCTTAACATAGAGCTTCCCTATGACCTAGCAATCCCACTTCTAGGTATCTACCCAAAAGACACAAAAACACTGATTCAAAAAGATAACTGCATCCCCATGTTTATTGCTGCTTTATTTACAATTGGAAAAACATGGAAGCAGCCCAAATGCCCAAAAGTAGATGACTGGGTTAAAAAGATGTGGTACATATATACAATGGAATATTACTTAGCAACCAAAAAAGAGAAACACATGTCTTTTGCAGCAACTTGGATGGAGCTGGAAAAGATCATGCTTAGTGAGATAAGCCAGAAAGAGAAAGAAAAATACCGGATGGTTTCACTCATAGCAGGAGTATAATGGACCAGGTGAGAAAATAATAAGAATAATGAACAGCCATATACCAGAGACATTTTGTGGGGGTGGAGTGGGGAATGGGATCAAAAACCGGGGGTGGGGTGGGGTGGGGAGGGAAGTGCACGGGACTATGGTGATGGCACATGGGTGATTCGGTGATGGGAAGCCCACGGGGATTACAATTGAGATAAAAACAAAAAGTGTACAAAATGATGTAAAAATAAACTGTTATTAAAAAAAAAGAACTTGGGCCCCAAGTTCAATTGAAGTAAGTGAGACAGGACAACTCTGGCTATAGAGTTGAAAGAAAAAATCTGTGCAGTGTCACCTGCTGGGGCACTTCTCTGACATCCTAGGTCTCTAAGGACCTAGCCTGACACCATCAGCCTTCCTGACCCCTCCCATGCGGTACTGGGCAGCTGTGTCCAGTTTAGTGGTCCAGGAACAGAGCAGATGTGAACACAATTTTCATTATTTATGAGTTAAATCCAAACTTTTGCTTTTAGAAATGAAGTGAGGAGAAAAACTCAAGGACAAATTAATCAGTCTTTGAAATGATCTTCTCCCATATTGTGTCCCAGAAAGAGACCAGGGACCTGGTATTTGTCTATCGGCAGCAGCTTCTGAGTCATTCAGAGGTTGGCCTTGTGAGAACTTGGTCTGATTTTACGTTGAGAACAGAAGATGGTGCGCTTTGGCCATACCAAGGAAGGAGGGCATTTTTATGATGTGAAGTTCATTTTGACTGCAAGAGTCTTTCTCTAAAATTAAGATCGCTATATGCTCAAGGCTATACTGGCAACATTTCTTAAGTATAAATGAAGTCTCAATTTTTTTTTAATTACTGGAAAAAATACCAATGAAAATGAGGTTTCACTGATTGCTTTGGCTTTCAATTCACTAACAGGACACAGTAGGCTAATTGGGACTGCGAAGCAGTGCCTGGTAACTGGGCTGAAGCCAGTTCCCCGGAGGACCCAACAAGCAGCTGCTATCAAATAATTTTCTATGCCCATTGTTAAGCCCGATTGGAAATTTCACAAATGTGAACTAGTTCCCGTGCCAACCAAAAAAGCACCTAAAAACCACACAATTGCAGGCCTAAAGGCAATTACAGTTGCACACTGCAGGTCTGTAACAGCATATAAGTGGACTTCCAAAGGTTTAGAAACAAGCCAAGATGAGAGCTGCATCAGAGAGCACTAATTTTTCAGTCTGGTATCCTATTGAAAGATCTTTTGATGTGTCCTTCTGAGACAAAAAATTATAATTCCTAGGAGGAAGTGTTCATGCGAACCCAAGCTCTTAGTGTGGCAGTAGCGCATCTTAAGGACCCAGCTCCTTCCCCAGACTCTTCTCTACTCATTCTGGCCTATGTGCATTCTAGTGATAGGGAGCCCTGACATGTAGAATATGAGCATAGGTGTGTCAAGCTCCTCGCTATGACACATGCTGCTGCCTTCCTTATCTTCCTAGGGAACTCTTTTTTTTTTTTAGATTTATTTATTTATGCACACAGAACTGGGGTACAGGCCAGAGGAGCAGGGGTGGTGAGAGGCTTCACCAGAGATAGAGTGGGGAGCAGAACAGGTAACAACAAAGCACACTGCTGAGGGGAGCAGCGGGCGTGTCAGGAGAGGTCTGCCACACCATGTGGTCACCTCCCGGGGCGGGAATCGAACTCTTGGGGAAGGGGCTTTAGCTTCTTGGTGTGGTGCTTTAACCCGCTGCGCCACCAGGGAGGTCTAGAACTCTTGCTCATCCTAGAAGCCCAACTTGAAAGAGGTTAAAGGATTTTCTCCTTTTCATCCTTTTGTTCAAGGACGAGACCCAAATCTTCTCCACACTTTTCCCAAAGTATGCACATTCAAGTTCCTGCCTACACCACAAGTCCTTTCTCCCAATATCATCTTCTGATAACTATTCTCCAGCCTTACTGAGCTTCTTGTGACCTCCAGATGGATCTGGTAGGAGGGTCTTTGTGGGAAGGAAATGAAAATCAGTGCCACCAAGGAGCCATGGGAAGCTGGTATCACACAAGCCAGCACATAGCAAGGTCTTGTAGACAGACCATCTGCCATGTTGGGTTTAGGGACAAGGAACAGAGAAGTAAAGGAGCAGATGTTTTCAAATGTACTCATTCATTCTACTGAAACATGTCTGGACCAGTACCCAGTCCTTATGACAACCCTATGAGATAGGTGTCACTCTAGTTTTATAGGTGGTAGTTGCTCAGAGAATTAGGGACTCTGGCAATCCTTCATGGGCAGTATATGACAGGGCAGAAATTTTATGGACTAAACACAAACTCAAATTTTTTTTACTCCAAAGTCTAAATTTCTCTTTCCTGGTTTGGGAGGGTCACCTAATTATATAGCAAAAGATTAACAGAGGCAATACAGATTTCTGTGAAGTTTGTATTCTAGAGTTGCAAGTGCTTCAGAAGACAGAGTTTATATTATTTCTCTCAGCATATATCGGCTCTGTTCAGAACTGACCGTCAGTGGACTTCCATTGTATCTGTGGATAATCCATCTGACCCAACCATACAAGCAAAGCCCCACATACTGTACATTTTTGAATACCTTGAGCAGAGTATTGTATGAGGAGAAAAGGAGATCCTTGGTTCTTGACCAGCATAGCACTCATCAGAGCCAACTGGTGATATTGGGGCAAGAGTCAATGGGTTCTTCACCATACAGCCCCCATTTGAAACTGGATGAGTTCCAGAACAAAAAAAAGATTACAAATCTACTTGTGTCAATCTAAAATCAAATTCTGGTCTCACACTAAGCACTTTCTTATTATATAAGCTTAGTGTCTGATTTAATCCTTTTTTTGTTTTTAATAAATTATGTCTTATTAGTAAGGGATAGTAAGTTTCCCTGGACAATTCTCACACCACTTGTTTTTCCAGTTTGTCTATCAGTAACTTTCATGGACTGAACACAGATGGGCTGGGGAGGGAGGAGGTTTGGGTGGGGTTGAAAGCTCTTGACTTAGGGTTACCTTGCCAACAGGCGCCGACCGTGAGTTGCATATCTATGTGAGATGGATGAATGGGCCAATCGTTGGTCACCAGGTATGGTTCATACGTTGCTCCATCCATGTACAAAGAAACCACAGGGAACTCCACATTGATGACATAGTAATGCCACTCTTTGTCACAAATCTAATAATAAAAAAGGAAGAAGCAGCACTTAAAATTGGATATTCAATGAAGCATCAAACCGATTTTTATTCTAATTATGAAAGGGGAAGAAGACCTTTTTTATCAATAATTTTATTGCATAGAATTCAAGGAACATAATGGGTAATATGAACTGAAGTTATAGAAGAAGCTCACTTCAAACATTATAGAAAAAAACCTGGGGGAGAAGAGCACCTGAGAATACAATCATTAAGCAAGTATTTGATTAGAGACAGATTTTCTTGTTCACATAATTACCAACTCTCTAAGCTAGCAAGTTTTTGGTGGATAGGTGGGAGGATCTGCTTAAATTTGCTATGTATGAAAATGTTCTTAGTTCTTTAGAAGAGAAAAGAAGTACTACTTTTTTGAGCTTGGGAATAGATGGAACTATACAGAGGAAAATGCTACATTGAAAGTAGAAATGAAGAGGGAGAGAGAGATGGGGAAAGGAAGGGAGGAGAGGGAAGATAATGGAAGAGGGATGAGTTAGGATTAGAAAGTAGTACACAGACGGGAACGATCAGGAAGATGAAGAAGGATGGATGTAGAAGAATTGGGCCCTCAGTTCCATTGTCTCTATTTGAAGACTTTCTGGGGTGCTATTAGAATCCCATGCCCCATCTTTAACTCAAGCAAATAAAATAAATTCTGAGAGAGTCTTTCCAAGAGGACTGAGCTTTGTCCTCTATTGGAGTACTGGGGTGCTGAGGGAAGCAGGGGAAGAGAAGGACCAAAGAAGGGTTGCACTAGCCTGGACTCAAAGCAGAGTACTCTGCCTTGTTTCCCCTCACTGTTAAAAAAATAACGTATTTTAAAAACTTGCATACATTTAAGATATACAATATGAGGATTTGACAAACACAGTGACATGATTAGCCAAATGAATTAACACATCTCTTTCCAGTTGCCACCTTGTGCGCATGTGGTGAGAACACCTGCAGCTTATCCGTTTACCATTTGGAAAACAATATTGTTAAGTATAGTCATCATGCTCATACATTACATCTCTAGACCTCCTCCTCTTATGCAACCCAACAACCATTTCCAGCCAAGATTTCTGGTCTTAAAAATGAGATCCCCAAACTAAACTTTAAGGCACATAGAGATGCTGTGTCTCCATTCTAGCGCCATTCAATCACAAAATGTTGACCATAAGGGACTGAGCTCTCACAGCACGATCCAAAGCAGAATCCAAGACTGGTGTGTCTTGGGAAGGGAGATAGGAAGCATAAAAGGTGACAGGATGGAGAATGCTGTACCCTCTCTCTGGATGCCTTGGAAATCACATTAGACACTTTATTTTCTAGACTCCCTTTCTCTCTAATCCCTATGCACCCTGTGGATGCTGCCTCTGAATCTCTCTCATCTGCATCCTCTGGCTTCCATCACCCCTGCCATCCATGGCAGTGGAGACAGATGAGTTCTGCATGAAGGTGACCACAAGGTGAAGGCATCAAAGCCCTCCCTACATCCACTTTGGATTAAATGTGCTGTTTCTCATGAATAGATAACACCAACAGGGATGCTAAATGATCGTTTCCCTTTCATTCTGGAATAAGAATTTTTTCCTTAATGTTCTTTTTATACTGTCCTGTCTCATGTCTAAGAAAATTGCTCCTTTTGAAACACATTAATGTGATAAAGTCTGATGAATATTTTAGGGGCTCTTGGAAAGTAAGTAGGAGGCGTCCAGGCAGATGACCCCAACATCCTGTTATACAGCACTGAGTATACAGTTCAGTGACTGTTTACATCTCTCTAGAGCTCCTAGCTCATCTTTTAGCCCGCTCTTGCTCTGTACCTGAGATCACAGGTGTGTTGGGTACAGGGCTCTGGAAAGAACCTGTGATTAGGATGGGGCTAATCTAGAGGCTGGCGGACAGAAAAAAGGAAGAACTGAAGACAGAGTTTAAGGGTGACAGAAGAGTGGGGAATTAAGGAGAGTACTTGAATAAGGAAGCACCCGATCCAGGAAGGTCTAGTATCTTGAGATTTATAATCAGGGGAAACAAGGCAGCATATTCCAAGACCCTGAATATGGTTTACATCAGGGGCATATTCCCTGAGGCTTTGGAAAACCTCTGACCAGGCCCAGGCTGGGAAGGAGCAGGTGATGGTACAGTGTCCATGACCACAGCCCATGGCCTGTGGAATGTGGGCAGAGCAAGAGAGTCAGCTTGCAGGTTCCCCACCATGGCCGCCACCACCACCAATCTAGTACCCCTCTGGCATCCACCATGTACATCCATGTGCAGCCCGGGTCTGCCCAAGCTAGATGGAGAGTGATCCTCCAGCTGACTTCTGTTCACAACGTTTGCAGAATTTTTGTAGGACATTCAAAATAAACTTTGTGGGAGAAAAAAATATGTAATTCCATACCTCAACAGCAGCAACAACTTTCTCAACATTGCGACCTTTTCGAGGCATTTTCCCCCAGTTTTTCTAAAGCGTGTCCCAGCATGCCCCCCATAGAAGCAGGGACTCTGGACACCCAGCCTCAATTTTTAGGTTTTGATGTTCCATTTCATTAGCATAGCCAAGGCTCCCTGCAACCTCAAAGTATGTGCCTGTAATGACTTTCTAAGCTTGCCGGAAAATGGAACTTTTCTATTTATAACTCTCCTATAAATACCTTGTGAAACAACAGTTGGGAAAGGTCAGTTTGGATCACACAGTACATACAATTCGAATGTTAGTGGTTTAGCTTAACATCAGCATTAAAATGCCTTTGCCAACTTCATTTTAGATGTCTGCATAAAATGGATTTGCCACAATATATTTAAGCATCCCCTTACTACAGGTATTATATATCGGCAAATATAAATGATACTATAATGAATTTCTTTGTACATAAATATTTCCCCCATTTCTGGTTATGTCTTCGGCAAAGATTCCTGGAATTGGAATTACTGGGTAAAGGAGCAAATACTGAAGGATTTTGCTGGCTCTTGACACCCATTGTCAATTTTTTTCTATAAAAAATTGTGCCTATTTCTACTGCACAAAGAGTGAGTATTTGTGCATCGTGTCCTTATTACATTGAGTATTTGAAAAAAATTAAGTTCTGAATATTTGACACCGTTTATCTCATTTTAATATTGGTCACAAAAGAAGGCAGGATTCATATTCTTCCAGGTTAAAGGGAGCGCCTTCTGGAAGGGGGGAGCAGCCTGAGCTGAAACTCAGAGGTAGGAACAATTGGGAGCTCCCCCAGTGAGTTCCTAATTGGGTATCTAAACAGGTTTTAGTGCAGACCACGTTTATGCCTGCAGACTTCTCATACCAAGTAATCTATGAAGACAGCTAAATGCCTAATTAAGGTTTCATAAATGTCGATCTATGATCAAGAAGAGACCTGTATTAACCCTCTGTTAGAACTTCAGGGACAAACTGTAATTGAAAAATGATCAAGCCAGGAGGCAGCAAAATAAATGTGTCAATGCATAGCTCAAACATGAAAGAAGGAAATTAAGCAAAGTGACCTTTCCTGGGGGGAGAGAAGAACTTTAATTGCTGACTGTCCGTGAATCACGGGTGAATGCAGCTGGCACCAAGCACATCCAATGCCATCCCCAGAGACACTGCCCTAGGCCTCGTCTGGACCAAAGACACTTTGCTCTCTGAAAACTACAGGTGTGTTTCCAAGTGGGCAGCTGTGCTGATAAGTAAGTCAGAGACCAGCCCCAAGGACAAATGATAAAAGCTGCCAGGAAAATGCTAAAGGAGTTCTCAATTGGGAGTAGGATGGTACTCCAGGATGAGTCAGGGCCAACCAAGAAGTCTCCCATGAGAAGATCAGGGTGTAAAAGTGTTGAAATGGCAGTTAAACTTCCCATTGGAAGTTAGGAGTTGATGTTCCCAATCAATCAGGATTGTTGGATGTAGCTATTTCAAAAGATACATTTACTAATTACCATGTGGTAGGGACTGTTAGGAGCTGTCCAGGATGTAGTACTGATCAGATAGGTATTTTACCTTCAAGGTTTTCAACCAAATGGTGGGAGTGAGAGTGGGAGTGGGGACAGGTATTAAATGCACAGTAAACTCAAGTGTAAGAGGGATTGAGATAAGTGTTATGGACCAGGTGCAAAGCACTGTGAGACAAAAATTCTGCCTAGGAGAGTTGATATATTTAAGGAGCTACAGTGAAGATGACAAAGAAAAAAAATCTAGGCAAATGGGGCAGAAACATCATATTTATTCATTCATCTGTTTTTCTATCATTAAAGGGTTTATGTCTGACACATAGGAGGATTGCTCATTCTTTCGCTCACTCCTACAGGCATATATTAAATACACATCCTGCTCTGTGAATGAAAGAAAGCACCTGCCTTCATGGAACTTCCGGTGCAATCATGGAATTGACACAAAGGCTTGTAATTGTGACTCAGTCTGGTACAGATTTGTGCAGTGTACCAGGAGGGAGTGGCGGGTGTCTGATTGCATTGGAGAAAGAAGGAAAGAAGGAATCAAAACACAGAGCTTAAAAGGGCGAGGTTAGCTGAGAAAGGGTGCAGAGTAGAAGATACAACCACGAGAAAAATTTGAATCAGAGGTCTGAGGACTTGGGTTACTTCTATTTTGTAGGTAACATGAGATCTGGGTGCTTTTGGGCAGCAGAAGGATAGTAATGATTACAATACATTTCGGAACATTTTTCTCAATTTTTAAACATAATCATATCGCCTATATATTTAATCATTGCCACAATCCTAAAAAGTAGGAGGGCCAGTTCTGCTCCGGGAACTTTAGCAAATAATCTCAAGGCATTTCCAGTGGGAGTTAGATGTAACACATATCCCACTGTTTGTTACATGCACACTGTGTGTCTTTTCATTTCCCATGGAACCAGAGACTAAATTTCATTCATTCATTTCTAATTCAGGATTCTCAGTGGATTCTTATCTCCTGAGTAATGGGCTTGTGTGTCAGACTCTACTCAAATGGCTCCACTTGATAATTCTATAGGCATTATAGAC